CTGAACTTCTTCAAGCTCAAGCTCACGTATGGAACCACATGTTCAACTTTGTAAACTCCATGTCTCTCAAATGTGCAACTCAACTAGGCATACCGGATATTATCCACAGACATGGAAAACCGATAACCCTGCCTGAATTAGTAGATGCACTCCCCATTAACAAAGCCAGAGCGCACGGAGTATACCGTTTAATGCGAATTCTAACTCATTCAGGGTTTTTCATTTTGGAAAACATATCTGGTGATGACGAAAAGAAGGGGTACTGGCTTACAACATCTTCTCGCCTCCTCATACAAGACGAGCCCTTTGGCGTGGCACCACTTGTACTAGCAGTGCTTGATCCAATTTTCACTAAGCCATGGCATCATCTAAGTGAATGGTTTCAAAATGAGAATCCCACACCATTCGATACTGCACATGGGAAGATGCTTTGGGAGTATACTGGGCAGGATCCAAGGCTGAACCACTTCTTCAGTGAAGCAATGGCTAGTGATACAAAATTGGTGACTAGTGTTCTTATTAGAGAGTGTAAACAAGTATTTGAAGGTTTGAATTCAATTTTAGACGTTGGAGGTGGAACTGGAACTATGTGCATGGCTATTTCTGATGCGTTCCCAAACTTGAAATGCATTGTGCTTGATCTTCCTCATGTGGTCGCTTGCTCAAAAGGAACTAAGAATTTGAGCTATGTTGCAGGCGACATGTTTGAGCACATTCCTCCTGCAGATGCAATCATACTCAAGGTATCATTAGGGTCTCCTCTATTTCATAACGCTTTTCGTTTGCTTTTGATAGAAAATCATGTGCATTTTCAATTATATGTGTATTTTTTTCGCAAATTATTAATTGATGATTTAAATGGGACCACGTATTTATGTAAACATTTTAAGAAAAAATATTATCGTCAATGATTTGGAGCAATGCTACTAGTACATTGGGGTGTACATCACGGTGTACACCCCCCCTCACATGGGTAAGGGGCCCACTCATATATTTTATTTGAGTGGGCTCCTCCATGTGAGGGGATGTACACCTTGATGTACACTTTTTGATGTATAAGTAACATTTTTCAATGATTTATTTATTCGGTTTTGTTAGGGGAACATCACCGTGTACATCGGGGTGTATACCCCCCTCACATGGAGGTGGGGCCCACACGAATAAAAAAATATTTTACACAAGTGGGTCCCACCCCCATGTGAGGGGGGTGTAAACCTTGATGTACATCTTTTGATGTACAAGTAGATTTATCCTTATTCCATTGGCTCAAATCTGAACATAATTTTTTTATTATATGTAGAGATTATTAATTTACAAATGTTACAAATGTTTTACATCTATAGACTATATAGTTTATTAATGTTGAAATTTAAAGTAAATAAAGTTCTATTAATATTCTCATTAGCTAATACCATGAGAATATCCAACAAAAATTGGAACAATAAATTGAATATTAATGAAAAGGGTGACAAGACATGAAATATGCTAGTATATTAATAAATTGGTTATCAAAATGTGCTTACTAAAAAAGTATTCTTTGCATACAAAAATTATGTTGGAAAATGAGCCACATAATTTCATTAAAAATAACGCTATTTAGTACTAGTGATATTTAACACAAACTTATGTATCAATGAGGTTTCACTATGAAGTGTCTTCTTTCTTGTCCACTATCACACATAACAAATAAAACTTATTAATGTTGTTGACTTTTTCTAGTTGTATAAGTTGAGTTGATATGCTTATTTTATGATACTCGTGTTACAAACAACATGTAGTGGGTATTGCATGACTGGAGCGATGATGAAGGTGTCAAAATATTGAAGAAATGCAAAGATGCAATTTCAGGCAACTATAAAGGAAAAGTGATAATTATTGACATGATAGTGGATGACGGCAAAGTCGACGACAAGGCTACTGAAACCCAACTCTTTTTTGATATGGATATGATGGTTCATGTCGCTGGAAGAGAGAGAAATGAGAAAGAGTGGGCAAAACTTTTCTATGAGGCCGGCTTCACTTACTACAAGATAACCCATGTATTGGGATTGAGGTCTGTAATTGAGGTTTATATTAATAGTATCAATAAATCTTATTAATTAGTCGTTTGTCCAATAATTTCATTGTCCTATTATGTATAAACTCTCTGGATTTCCAATAATTTCATTGTCCTATGGAATCTCAGAACTTCGATTTCATCTGAATTTCATTGTCCTATTATGGATAAACTCTCTGGATTTCCAATAATTTCATTGTCCTATGGAATCCCAGAACTTCGATTTCATCTGATATATATTTGCAACGCTTCCAATTTCGGGTGGGAAGAATGTTCTTTCTGCTAATAGGGTTTTGATCGCACATCACTCAAAGATATATAGAACAAAGAAAATGGAATACCTCAAATTTAGATAGAGCAAGTAAACACGTAAAAGCTATTTTTTTGACAAAGAGCTCCAAATGGTACATGGTCGTTTGATTTCCCGCAAGTGAATAGGATTGTGATCAAGTAATATAATAGTGTGTAAAGTGTTGAACCCACGAGGACTACGTGTTTGATCGAGTTAAAGTTAATAATACCCTTAATTGAATAGCAATAATAGTTTATAATAAATCTAT